ATTGTTGTTTGGCAGGTCCAGGCTGGGGATTCGAACCCGCCACCTTAGGTGTACATGGCTGGCGCCTTAGCCGGTTGAGCTATAGGCGCCGAGCCACATTTCCTTTCTGACTTCATTGAATTATCTGGGTTTCTGTCTTCATACTTCAGCCATCATTTTTACTCCTATTCCACTTAATGATTTGACATTTCAGTTTCCTGTCGGGTGTCTTTTTCCTGTGTTTACTTTCAAGGCCACCTGCTGAAGACTCTTGCTACATTCCCCACTCCTGGTCCTGTAGCCTATTCTTCTGTTTTGAGGGCTCCTATATTCTTGGGAAGAAGGGCAGGGCACATTGTTGATTTATATCTGGTTTGTCTGCTTTGACCTGTCCCTGGTTCCCAGCTTAGCTCTTGATTTCCTTGGAACACAAGAGTGTAAGCTATTTGAAGGTAGGGCTGTGTTTTACTCACTTGGTTTTCCCTTGGCTTCTAATTATACAACCGTACTCAATAAAAGTTTTTTTTAGTTTTAAATATTGATATGGACCCAAGTAAAGATTTTACAACTTTAATCCTGTTTTGAAAAATCCTATTAAGGTTTAAGAGTGGTTTTGCCCCACGTGCAGTAACTCTAAATAGCCTAGTAGAAGATCTGATGGTGGCCAGCGCTGTGTATATACATCAGAATCAGTATCAATGAGCATGCAGCTTGTCGTCATGTACATGATGCCTCTACTAGGGGGTTGTTAAACACCGTCTCCTCAATCTTGTGTTCTGTAAGTAATAATAGATTAATAGCTAACATTTACTGAACTTTTACAACGTGTACTAAGCATTAAATCTGCACAATCTCATTTAATATCTACACCAACCTTATGAAATGGTTACTGTTACCACCCATTTAATTTTGTAAAGAAGGAAGTTAAGGCCAGTACTTCACAGTGAAGAGCAGAGCCTCACAGTGATCTCAGGTGGGTGTATGAATTGTCTATAAAAGAACTGTTAAGAACATGAAGTAACTATACTAACATTAAAGAAACTGTTGGAACACTTAAGAATTCTCTATGAAGCAGAGATAAGTGTGGGCCCAGAACCCTTCCAAATGGTCAAAATGTCCTTATTAAGTAAGGGCAGCAGACATCCCATTCCTGGGGCATAGGACTTTCTGGGCTCAAACCGGGACAGACCCACAGAAATGAGGATGATTGGTAACTTGGTTAGTAGAGGACTCAACTTTGTCATTTGAATTGCTTCTAATGCTGGAAAATTTACGAAGGAGATAGAATACGCTGACAAACAGCTGAAGTTTCCTATTTAAATGTAGTATATGGAAAAAAACTCCCTTTGGCAATGTTCTGTTGCTGTGACTGTTGTTTTAACCTCAAATTTATTTCTAAGATTTACCCCAAACATTTTTTTTTTTTTTGAGACAGAGTCTCAAGCTGTCGCCCTGGGCAGAGTGCCATGGCGTCGCAGCTTACAGCAACCTTAAACTCTTGGGCTTAAGCGATTCTCTTGCCTCAGCCTCCCAAGTAGCTGGGACTATAGGTGCCTGCCACGATGCCTGGCTATTTTTTGTTGTTGTTGTTGTTGTTGTTGTTGCAGTCGTCATTGTTGTTTAGCAGACCTGGGCCAGGTTCAAACCCACCAACCTCGGTATATGTGGCCAGTGCTACCCACTAAGCTACGGGTGCTGCCTACCCCAGACTTCTTTATCAGCTGTATTCTGCCTTTGATCCCAGAGCATATCTACCCAGTGTGGTCTGAAATACTCTTGAGTTCCAGTCTATCTCTAAAACCCCTAGGATTCTACCCTTAAGCTTCTAACCCAGCACCAACTAGTTCCCACACATACATGCTCAGAAGATAATAAGAGTAAATATTCCTAATTGCCTTGTGCATGCTAATTCACTCAATATCTGCTATTGAGCTGATATAGTATAGTAGAAAGAGAACTGTAGATTCAGAGATCAGATTTTCAAGAACAATTTGTACACAAAAATTATTTGTGCTTTTCTAAGGGAGTCTTAGAACCAATGATCTCACAGTGTTTATTCCTGGACCTGGCTTCTGAGCAGGCAGCCACTTACACGGTGTGATTTAAGGGGCTGCCTGCTGTAGTGCCTAAATTCATACTATTTAAGAGTTAGTTCTCTATCCATGTACCATCCTAAACTCCTCTCCCATAACACCAGCGGTATGCGGCCCACACTGTGAGAAAGCCTGAATTAGAGATTGCAGCCCTTTGTCAACTAATTTACCGTTTGATTTTGAGGATAGAATTCTTTGCTGTAAAGAGGTTTTGGATTTCTATGTGGTTAAGCCTGTCATTCTTTGCCTTTGTGATTTTTGCTTTTGGTATCAACCTTCGAAAGTCCTTCCTTAGCCCAAGGTAATTTAAAATAACTATTTCCTGAGTGCCTAGTGTTC